AGGAGTTCCAAAGCATAATAGTGCCATTTTGACCTTCTTCCTATTTCTCATGTAAATTTTAATAGCAATCAAACTAACAAACTTTATGGAGTCTGTAATAAACTTTTGTACTACTACTACTACGTCTGTAGTTTCTATTTGCTCAAAAAAATTTGCTCTGCATTGTGAATAGAAGGTTGATTTGTAAATATTATTGGGTATATATGTAAGTTAATAATAAAATATGAACAATTTCAATTGAGATAGTCCACAAGTTTTTTTCGTGTGCGTTTTAGTAACATTTTGCTGAAATGGTGAATACAGAATTTTTTGCACTGATTCCTAATGTCGAAATATGATTAGAAAGGCGTGGTATATTCCTGATAATTTACTATGCTTTTGATAGAATTTACAGCAACACATATCTTGTACGACATTTTTTGAAAGATCAGTCACAATAGCTTGATTCGGCCCTGTAGCGTCTCCTACGGTTAAGTTCTTGATCACGTGCAATACGGGTGTATATGTTTGATTTTACTTTGTTTCTTCGATGGATACAGTTTATAAAGAACACACAGTTTACCTACCGACACTGAGAAATTTATAAAATATGAAACAGGTTATTTTTCCATGTTAACCAGGTACGTCTATGTTAATTAATCCACGTAACAGGTGGGAATCTCGGTCCGAGGTATACAACTGCCTACTAAATTTATTTAACGACTTAATTTGCCTAAATATTTGATGAGATCTCTATGTCCTGACGCGTTATGCCATAATCGTTTGTTTTACTCACCGTGTGGTATAGAAATAGAAAGCTATAAAATTATAATCAATTTTTTAAATGGAACTTGTTTACTATTCGTATGCTTGACGCATCGGGCTCGCATACCTACCTGGATGCTTGAGGTCTTGTTATAATGGATGGAAACGTATGGTAGATCTCATTAAACAAATATGAAGTCAGTGCTACGAAGAATTAGGATTTTGATGTCAAGTTTAATCTTTCTTAATCATTATAGGTCATGGTGAGCCGTCAGTTGTTTTGTTTGAAGTTGGTATTATACTAAGTGACATATAAGTCCGAACACCCAGTTTAAATGGTTTTATTTTAATAAAATTTTGTAGAAGTACTTAATGAAGCATAATAAGCAAATGATAGCTATAGCACCCCAAACCATAACTCCAACAGTGTGATGAACACGTCTTTCAACAAAAAACTGTGGATTCCTCCTTTCACCACGTCGCCTTCTAACCCTGGCACGACCATCGTGCATGCCTAAACAAAATCGAGACTCATCACTAAAGACAATAACTGTTCCATTCCTGATCCCAGAGTGACCGTTGTCTGCACCACTCAAGGCGATTACGTCGGTGTTCTCGAGTTAAAGGGAGGACCCAGTGTGGCCGGTATGAAAACAAGCCAAATCTTCTCATTCGTCGGTAAACACTTCGCATGCCAATAGGTCTTCCGTATTCTGCAAACCATTCATTTGCAATGGACCTGGTAGTGGAGAAACGGTCCCTTAAGGCCAATAATCTTAGGCGGCGATCTTCACGGTCTGTTGTTCTACGGCGGCGTCCAGTGCCCCTTGCTCTTTGCGTGCGGCCTTCTCGAAGCCATGCCTGACAACACCTAACCACAGTGTCTACACTTCTTTGCACTCTAACTGCAATTGCCCGAAAGGAAAGTCCAGCTTCCCGAAGTCCCACTATACGGTCCCTATCAAACTCACTAAGTTGACGAAATCGTACAGGTCTCCGTACTCTAGGCATCGTAACCGATCGTAAAGGATGTCAACAACCAAAATCCGTCAACGTTGATTCTTTACTGCGGCTGAAATATTCATTTTTAGAGCGTTAGTGAATTAAAAAAAAGCAGTATAAAAACCGGAATGTCCAACTGATAAGGCTGAAAATTTTTTCACTTGTTATTTACAGTAAGATAAATACATTCACCAACTTTTATTAAAATAAAACCATTTAAACTGGGTGTTCGGATTTATGTGTCACTTAGTATATATGTCAAAAGGATTCACAACATGGTTGTGTCCTATGTCACTTAGCTTCTTTATGTGCAATAGAAATATCGCGGAGAAGTGGATATTACTGATATTTTACCGTGCAGATATCCATTTAGTCCTAATTTATGGAATAGAAGCATAGGGAGCATCGTCTCAGCTGCAAAGACTTTTTGTGTTGCAAAAAAAGGCTGTTCGAGTAATAGCTAAAACTGGAAGGCTCACTAGCTGCAAGGATTCATTTAGAACATTAAAGATTTTAACCTTACCATCTGTATATATACTCAATATACTTATCCTTGCTATAAATATATATATATAATGCTGATAAGGCTGAACATTTTTTCACTTGTTATTTACAGTAAGATAAATACATTCACCAACTTTTATTAAAATAAAACCAGTTAAACTGGGTGTTCGGATTTATATGTCACTTAGTATATTTTGACAGTTGGTAACACTTCCATGCTCAGCATATTGACAGATATATTTCGTCAAACTTTCGCTGTGAGCAACGGTCTTAATCTTGATTAAAGGCGCCAAATATTGAAAAACTGTTTTCAAAGTGAGTGCTGTGTTGCAGAAACTTTGCGATAATTGAGAAGACTATTTGGTCGGAATGAAGCTCCGTCCGCGACTGGTACGTATGTACAGCCAAAAAATTGCTGCTGTTGCCCAGAGTGTGTGTGAAAACGCAAGAATGTCAACTCGTCACAGAGCACTTCTGTGCGGAGAACATTGCATAACCACCTGGGATTATTTTCTTACAAGGTGCAAGAGTTGAAACAAAATGACCAATCAATTGGAAACGGGCGTCAATTTTGGTAGCCAAATCATATTTTCGGACGGAGCCCATTTCCATCTGGGAGGTTACG